CCAGCCCATGCTTTATCCCAATTAGCCCTAAAATCCTCCATTTCAGCTGCCAGCCACAAAAATGGGAAGGAAGCTGAGGTTTCAGAGATTGCTAAAAACAAGCACTTTCGGGGGGGGTGCGGGGGCAGGATGCTGCAGGCATCCCCAGGCTGGTGGGGGAACCCCAGTGCAGGGCTGGATCCCAAAACCCCCACAGCTAACACAGCCTCTGTCTCTCCCCCCACAGCGTGCAGCTGAGGAAGACAAAGGTCTGTGTGGACCCGGAGGAGGACTGGTTCCAGCAGTACCTGAGGCAGAAGGAGTCAACCAACACCTCCACGTGAAGCTGCCTTCAATATAAGCTCCGTTTATTTGCATCCTGGAATTATCTGTATGTTCTCATCTCATTAATTTATGGAGCTGGCTCCATCCCTTCCCCTGCCATCATCCCCCCCACACTACTGTACGACCCTCAATGGGTTTAATAAAAGATATCATGCTGATCTGCAACTGGAGTGAGATGATGTAAATCCTGATGAGAAAAAAGGGGTCACAAGAGTGCTCAGCATCCCCGTGGGGACCCAGGAAGAGTCCAGGAGCCCCTGAGAGAGCAGGGAAACCCAAAGGGCTGAGGCTCAACCCCTCAGCTCCCCTCAGGATGAAGTAGCCCCTGCCCAGGCATGGAGTTTATGGACACCCTGGGCAGCTCCCTGCCTGGTGGGATGAGGATCTTGGCAGGGATAAAGGCAGGGGTAGGTGGGCAGGGGGAGAAGGGTTGGGTTTGGGGGATTTTGGGGGTTGCTTTGTTTTTCTCCCAGCTGGCTCAGGGGTTAAATAGGGGCAGCTGCAGAAGGAGAGGTGGCTGAATGTTTAGCACTGTCCTTCAGCCCTGGACAGACCCCGAAGATGGGCACCCGTGGGTGCCCTGCTCATGCCAAGGGGCTCCAGGTCCCTGGGAATCCCCTCGTCGCATGGGGAAAACCCTCCTGCTGCCCCTCAAGCCCGTCCACCCACTGCGGTGCCAATGGGGTTGGGAAACAGATGAAAAGGGGCCACAACAGGCCTGTCACTTGTGTCAATAATTGCCTTAAAACTAAAAATTTGAATCATTGAATCACAGAATCATGGAATAGTTTGGTTGGAAAAGACCATTATGATCATCTAGTTCAACCGTAAACCCGGCATTGCCAACTTCACCACTAAACCATGTCCCCAAGCACCACATCTACACGTCCTTTGAAAACACAGATGCTTTTGGGCAAGTTTTCAGCAAGTGTGGGGAGGCTGGAGGGGTTCACCTGCCTGGTCCCCATCAGGGCTCTGGCTGCTCAGAGCTGACTCCGTACCCCTGCTGCAACCAGTGGAACAGGGTGAGCAGTGGTATCTGGGGTGGTTGTGTGGGGGAATATATCCAGCCGGGGGTGTTTGTGACATGGCACCGCACGTGCAGGACCTTGTTTGTGACCATACACGCTGCAAAAATATCCCCAAGCAACTGCCTCCCGCACACTGTGGTGGACGCTGGATGAGTGGGATGGTCATCAACCGCACCAACATCCCTGTGCCCAGCCATCTCCACCGCACCCAGTCCTGGTAATGGAGCCAACATCCCGGCCCCTCAAGAGGCCACAGCCCTCCGATGTCCAGCATCCTGCAGAGCTGCAGGAGGAGCAGACAGGACCCACCTGTGTACCTCCTCAGCCCATCACAGAGCATCAGGTCTCTGAGGAGGAAGGTGAGTGCAAGGCAGGTGTTGGCTGGTGCCCAGCTGTGCAAGCAGAGGCACTGTGAGAAGGTTCTCCAGACTCTCCCTCCTCCTGCTCCCAGTGTTCTCGTCACCAGTATCCCAACGAGCTGCTGGGGGTGACAATGCCATTGTCCCCTGGCAGTGTGCAGGCTGTGCCGGCGAGCAGACTGTGAGCCTGAAGTCGTTGGAGAGCTGTGCCACCAGGATGGGCTGTCTGTCCACGAGAACTGCCTGGTGAGTCCCCAGGGCTCCACACCCCCTGGTCTCCAACCCCACACCGGTGGCAGCCCCTGACATGTGCCCTCTTCCCCTCTTGCAGTACCACGCCAGGAGGCTGATTCAGAGAGGAGCCGATGAAGAGGGATTTTATGGTTTCCTCTTCCCTGACATCCTACAGGAGCTGGAGCGGGTGGCAAAAAAGGTGAGGCTGAGTGGCACGTGTCCACACTGTGGTCCACCATAGCCTGTGTCTGGCACCACACAGGTCAGCAACCATCAGGGATGCTCTGGCAGCTGGCTGCAAGGAACCCCACTAGATCCTCTTTGATTCAAAAAGACCCATTTATTTGGAATTTGGGGATCTGGAGAAGCCAGGTGGCTTTATCAGTGGCCTGGTGTCACCTGCCCACCGAAACACACTGGGGCAGTGCTGGGTGAGGGTGAACCAGACTCCTTGGGGATATGCAGTGCTGACCTGGTCCATCTCCATTCTGTCCCCAGAGGTGCTGCATCTGCCGGCTGTGGGGAGCCTCGGTCACCTGCCAGGCTCGGCGCTGCTACCGAAACTTCCACCTCCCCTGCGGCAGCGAGCGCGGCTGCATCTTCCAGTATTTTGGGGAGTACAAGTGAGTGTCATTGCCCCACAGGGCTGGGGCCAGGGTGGAGGAGAGCTGGGGCTGAACTGTCACCTCCAACCCACAGGTCCTTCTGCTGGAAGCACCGGCCAG